GGTGTCTGCATCCTATGCAGCAGAGATCTAAAGGATTGGAACATAGCGGTCATGTCATCCTTAATGGGAGGTGAGAACCCTATGGTAGGCTGTAAAAGACAACCAGGCTATCCACACAATTGTAGCATAAGGGTTTTTCACAGGTAGAACCCAATTTAACTGCACACTTCTTCTTAGGGGCCTGTCCTGGGTCTTAACCTACACAAGAAAAAGAGTAAAGAGGGCCATCAGCCCCAATCTCCATAACCAAACACCATTGTGCTGGGGAAGTGTGCCCCACCATCACCTGCCCTGACTGGGGAAAGCAAAAAAAAAAACACCCCCCCAGGAGTCAGCAAGAGGGACCCAGTCCCCAAGCCTACCTGAGAGGAGTTGGTGCCAGAGGAACCAGGGTCCGCTTGCTGAGAGGGGCCTACTTCCATCGCGTCCAGATTGGCGTGGTACGCCACCTCTGCTGGGTTTCAACGCCACACCCCGACCGCCCGCTCGGATGCCTGAGCCTTTGAGAGCAGAACTAGTGTGTCCCGGCACCCACCAATGACGCCACTGGAATTCCAGTCACTGGAGCGCACAGTTCCGCCCGACTCTCCTCCCACCCGGCGGCCCTGCACCTCTGTGCTGTCCGTGCTGGAGAGGTGGGAAGCAGCAAGAGCCCGAAACATGCTTGGGAGTCCAGAGGGTCACCTCGCCGGTCTCTTCCTCTAAGGACCGAATCGCAGCCCCATACAGGGATAAAATTACAGTTGCTTTGTTCCCTCCATAAACTTCATGTGGCCGTTTTCACTAAGGCCAAATGAATCTACGTTTTTTTTTTTCCTTCTTCCTGGAACTCTGGATCTGTATCCTGGAACATGTGCCGATGCATTTCATCAAAGAGGGGGGAGAAAAGCACTAGTGAGACACAGCCTTCCAAAGATGCATCTGTGAAGCTCTGGTTACATTACCACATTACCCATGTCTCAAGATACCAGGAAGTAGAAAATCCAAAATTTTTTTTTTTTGCATAAAAAAGTACGATTCCATATTTGCATGCAAAAGTGCATATACTGCATGCTCCTGACGGTTACTGGCTACCAATCATGATGGCCACAATCATAAATCCCACCCTGCCTCCCAGCATCAGAAACCCCATAAAGGGCTGGTAGGTGCTGGCATTAAGGGGTTAACATGTTCAAAATTCCCATGCTTTAAATCAAACGTTTGTTTGACTTTAAACTGCAAATATTTTTGCAAAAACCTTGTACACTGATCTTTCATGTGCTGTCCCAGAGGGAGGAACTCTGGGTCTCAAGGGGCTGTCCTGGAAGACGTTTGGAGGAAAGGTAATTTTTTTTTTTTTTTTTTTTGTACTGTAAGGATGACACACCCCTTAAATGGGAGGGCCATTACTTACTGGTGGTAGGCTCTAGTGCTGGATCAGCTCGTTTGATGCAACAGTCAACTGTCCCTTTGAGATCACCAAACCAGAGTTGAAGTTTTAAAATGATCCTACAAAGCTGCCTGAAAGCCTTTTCAAAAATGTTTTGTAAAAAGGTATGCTACATACACCACTCTAGAACAGCTACCAAGTTATTCTAATGGAACCTGCACTTCAGTATATTCACAACCATGGACATTTGAAAAAAGCCTTAGCCCATCAACCTTTTAAACAAAGGGGAACCCTTGAATTAAATTTCTAGGCTTGGAGGACACCTGCTAATATATTCCTGGTACATTATAGGGCACTGGGGAGAAGGCTTCTTACAGGTCTATATTCTTCATTTAACTGCTTTAGCGCCCCCCCATAGCAGAAATACTGCTACATGGCGGCAGCAGTGTGCAAAATCACATATACACACACGTGATTTCACATTTCCGGGGGTGGACTGTTATTAGCACTGATCACTGTATTGGTGTCACTGGGTATGTCAGCAACATCAAATCAGTCCCCCCCCCCCCCCCCCTCCCCCCCATGTCAGAATGCCCGCCGCAGTCTCATAATAACTAGCTGATTGCCACTATTACTCGTAAAGATTAAAAAAAAATATATATAATTGATTTTTTTTTTTTTTTAGCAGACATGTAGCAGAATGTATTTTGGCCTAAATTTATGACAAATGTGATTTAAATAGCAAAAAATATTTTTATTCTCAAAATTGTTGGGGTTTTTGCGCATTCGTGGTGGGAGAAACCCCCCCCCCCCCCCAAAAAAAAACTATTTGGGTGCAGCATTGCACAACTGTGCAATTGTCAGTTACAGTATCCCCCTTCCACTTCATTACGGCCTTATATGTGCACATTGTCACTAATTTCACATGCCCACTTCTGCAGTTTCTATCATTCCTCTGAACTCAAATCACTAGAATTTGCTCCATAAGCCAAACAGCAGCAGAGCTGGGGTTTATGCTTTCACGCATCTTTTCAACTGAAGTGTAAATCCTGGGTGAAAGGGTTGCTCACTGCTACTAGATCCACTTAGTCTTCTACTAAGTGGATCCAATAGACTACAAAAATGTGTGAAAAGTGCTGAAAAACTGGCTACATAGGATGTTAATGCAAGGACAAAAAATTAAAAAAAACCACATAAGAGCAGTTTGCCATTCAACTTTTATTTTAATAAAATCAGTAATGCACAGCACATGCAGTGCTAAGCATCTAAACTAGTACAATAAGCAGTTACTAAACTAGAGTGACTTGAGGGTCAATCTTGACATTTAGCAAGTTTGAATCCATTCTTTGCATAAAAAGGAAAAAAAAATAATTGTGAACCTCATGTTATATAGGTATTGCCAAATGTACTTGCTATATGTAATCATTGAAGACAAGTCACTGATTTTTTTTCGTTTTTTTTTTATTATTATTTACCAGTATGACAAAGATAACCACATGTTTTGAGGATTGCAATGTGCCAGACATTCACTGAAATAAAAAAAAAATAACCACACAACTAAACAAAACTCACGCAACAAACATCTGAGATTCTGGACACTTCACAACAGTGTTTTGAAGTGTTTCATTAATATCTTAAGACAAGTGTATCAAAACCTTGGCATGTTTAATTTTAAGTTGCCAATTTTAATTACACCAGAAAAAATTATGGCTGTTCAGCCAATACCGGGTCTGCTTAATTTGACTTAAGAGTTTAATATGACTTATAACATTAAAAGCTCACACTACCCCGAAATATATAATTTCACGCATACGTTGACATTCAACATTCAAGTGCCAGTGTTTTTGTACTGTCTTTTGGTCAAGTTTCTTTAGCTTTCAAAGAATCACTTAGGCTTACAAAAATAAATATTTGTCAAATGTTCAATAAATATTACACAAAACTAGCAGCAAAAAGTATCTAGAAATCCATTGTGTGCAAAATAGTTTGCGCCCCCCTTCTATTACTCCCATGGTCCCAAATAAGTCTCAGTCTTGCCCTAGACTCCAAGCAGTGTTTTTTGCCATCGCAAAGAGACAAAAATAAAAAAAGATTTGAAGGACACGTACACAAGACTTATATAAAAATATTCTCTGAATGTGCAATAAAAGAAGTTTTGTAGAAAGTTATGGGCAAAAATGTACAAGGGCCATCTATATTTTAAATAGCACCATAACAATGACCTCAATACTGTCAAGTGCACCTACAAAAAGATTTAGAGCAAGGCACAAAAAACACTTGTAAAATCTATTGCACGTTAAGATTTTTTGCCATTCCTATGCCACAAAGTTGTTTTAATTCAGCTACATATAGAAGGCTAAATTTCATGTGGCAGAGGCATTTTGTTGGGAATTACTCTTTGGCCAGATATAGCACTGCCATACTAAATGCAATGGAAACCTATGCAACTAAAACTGACTAAACTGCACACATTAGCAGATTGTACACCTTGTGCAGTCATGTACATTTTTCCACCATTGATCTTACGAGTTGAATTTACTCATCTGGAGCCATTTTACAAAGTCTACTGTAAGCCAAGTATGTTTGTAACCTTTCAAAAACGCAGCTTGAACAGAGTAATGTGAATCTGCATTAAAATAAAGCCTGCTGCATAATTCATCCTGTTCATACCCTCTTGACCAAAAAACATCAACACTAGCATGCGTTATTAGACCAAAATCAGCCAGGCCTGTCACAGAACCACATACTACCGTGGTCAGCCATTCTGCCATTTTCTTATGACAGGCATAAATTAATTTAAATGATGATACCTCCTAAAAACTATTTCAAGTTTCGGATCGCTTAACATTCCCTGTAATGTTCAGCCCATTATTGGCTTGCTCACACGTTAGCTGTTCTGCCTAAACATTGGAAAAGGAATTGCTTTATTGCATTCTCTGAAAACAGTGCTTCACGCGTATGAAGCTCATACATCTATGTGACTGGAATGGCTTATTGAAAAGACTTCAGGTTCTAAGTACCTTTCCAGGATAGAGTGAGCAAATCAGAACATAACTTCGTACAGTTAGCCACATTAGAAACTACTCTGATATGCTTCAAGATCTTTTGCAAAGTTAACAGAAGGCCTAATGGAGGCTTACTGCACAAGTTTACTTTAACTTGAAATATTAATGCATGGATGAAACGATTCCTGTTTTGAGGTTGTATCACACCTGCGTGCCAAGGTTTGATTTCGCCCAAGTTCAATAAATTTATTCTGTCTCAATTTATATCTTGAGCAATACTGAGCCAACAGGACATCAAAATAAAAAGTTGTCTAAAGTTAAAGGCACAGTACATTAACAAACAAATTATCCTCAGTCAAAATAATGCAGTTGCTGGAAAGGGTGGATTTGGGAATTAATCCAAAAAACTACAGCAATGAAATCTTCCAACACCTTCAGAGTAGGGCTTTTTATTCCTATCACTTGTTTTCTTCATGGCCCAGAGCTCCCTTGAAAAGAAAATTCAGTGGAGAATCACAGCTGGTAATGTACAAGTTCTTGAAGCTACACAAGGTATAGTCTGGCTAAGTTACATGTGGTTTCCATATTCGCATGTTTGGTTGAGTCCTTTCTAATCGCAGGCAAGTTTAGTTGCCCCACCAGTCAACCTGGGAACTTCCACCATAATTTCCTCCGTAGCCGTCACTGTTATAGAAGCCACCATAACCACCTGTTGACGAAAGGACATCAGTAAATGGGAGAGGGGACACAGGAGATGATAGTAAAGTACACATATTATGCATCTTATGAACACAGCATGAAAATGCAGTTGAAAAGAATGCTGTATGTCTTGGATTTAAGGAGAATAGGCAAACTTTTCATTTTGGATAGAGCAAGTGAGGAGTTATAACCCCCGTGAGGTTTATTTTTGTCCTCTTTGTCCCAAAAGGGAGATTTACCTTTGCTACCTGTCCCACAGCCAAAACAAGATGGGAGATTATATCCGTGCAAATTAAGGGAATCTCTTGGGGAGCTAGTGTCCCCATTGGAAGATTTTCCCTCTATTCAGACTACACAAGGAGATTTTAATCTCTCAAATGTTAGAGTGTAAAACATGTGGTGTTTTGATAAAATGGGAAAGCATTATTTGTTTTATGTAATACAAGAGGTCATAGTGGATAGGGTTTTTGAGGGTGTATGAAGCACACTATTGTTGACAGACATTTAAAGTCAAATTTGTCTTTATTAGATTTTGTATCAAATTAAACAATATATAGCAAGAAAATAAGAACATAGACAATGGAATGGGCAAAAAACAACACAGGTATCAGTATGATCCATGGGGATGAAGGAAGACGAATCCAAAAATGTAGATATAAGGGGGGCATCCCCAAATGTTGACAGACATTTAAAAGTATTCTGGGTACAACCCAAAATTTGGGAAATTTTTACTTTCACGGATAAATGGTAAAACAGGACAAGGTTTAAACTGAAAGAATTTTTGATGCATGTGTTTAGTGATGAAAATCCAGCAAGATTTAGTTTCTTACCTCCTCCAAATCCCCTACTGCCTCCATGACCACTGCTTCGACCACCACGACTGCTCCCAAAGCTGCTGCTTGAGCTACTGCTCTGTCTGTAGTCTCTGGCACCAAACCCACCGCTAAAGCGACTAGTATGAATAAAAAAAATAAAAAGTTTACAGACAGGTCAAAATACTGTCATATCTTCAAGCACAGCTGCCAGTGCAACCCTCCAAAAAGACACAAAAAAGGAGTTGATTTACGAAAGGCAAAATTTACTGTGTGCGGCAAGTGCAGTTGCTCCAGAGATAAGTAAACGAGGTAAAGCTTCACTTCACAAAGCATACTCAATCACATGCAATGAAAAAACAAAACAAACTGCATTTTTACTTGCGCATAATTGGATGACAAATAATCGGTTTCCCTTTAGGTCAGAACTTCCCCCCAGGTCTAGCACAATTGCAGAGCACAGATAGTTTTCCTTTAGTAAAAATAACCCCATAGTGCCTTCTCACAACTTACCTCTTTGAACGGCCACGACTACTGCTCTTGTGATGCTGTTCATAGGCCATATTCTCCAGCCAGGATGGTACCTCTTGTTTCGCTTCCACCAGAAGATCCAATAAATCCTTGGTTATATTTATATTCTTTTCATTGAAAAATGATGTTGCAAGACCTAAAAAAGGTATGGTAAATTATAGCTAAATTTACAAACTAGTTAGTTATAAACTAATTACAAATTTTTAAACCTGTATAAGCAAGAATGTTTTTATATTTGCATAGAAGAAAAAAAAAAAAAAAAAAAAAAAAAAAACACTTACCCAAATTACCCACACGTCCTGTACGACCAATTCTGTGTACATACTCCTCAATGTCACTGGGCAGATCAAAGTTTATTACATGTTTGACATTTGAAATATCAAGTCCTCTGGCTGCAACCTATAAGAAGATTTAGTACATGAGACACAATGACCATATGGAAGCAAGAAGCCAGAAAATTCTGAAGCAACTACTTACAGCAGTAGCTACTAGAATAGGGCTTTTTCCAGAACGGAACTGATGAAGTGCTTCCTCTCTGTCTCTCTGAGAGCGGTCCCCATGGATGCTTGTACAAGCATATCCTTCATGGTACAAGAAGTCTTCAAGAGCATCTGCACCCTTCTTTGTTTCCACAAACACCAACGTTAACGAGTCTTTGCCTAACGTAAAAAAAAACAGAACATGCATTACGAATCAATGTGTCAGTACAGGTAAGCTGTCACTTTTATACTAAGCATGCAAGGCTGATGCCAAATACCTGTTGCATTCAGGAGATCCAATAAAAATGAACGCTTGTCCATTTCTTCCACCCAGACTACTTTCTGCGTAATGTTTTCAGATGTAGAGCCTACTCTACCTACTGCCAAGAAGATATATTCTTCCAAGAAATCACGAGCAAGAATCTAAAGAAAAAAATAAAATTGGCCATTTAGTCTTTGCAAAAATGAGGATGTAACGATTAGCCTAGCATTTATTTAGAAACTGTGTAGCCAAGCTGTGAACAGTAACCCAAAAAAAACTGTGGTTGTAAAGGCTAAAGGGTCAAGCAGCAGGAGCCATTGAGGAGAGTGCAGGGCCGAGTCCTGCTCTGTGGTGTCTTGTGGACGCAGACAGTGGGGTCAGGGACGAGCACGCACAAGGTCCTCCAAAGTAAACGGGGGGGGGGGGGGTTAGCCAGAAACACCAGAAGAGGATTAGCAAAACCACTGCATAGAGCAAGTACGACTTTTTCTTTTAAAACAAACTGTTATTATCGCTTTAACGATGCTATAAGTATTTGTACATCACCAATACACTTTGCAAAGCACTGAATACCAAAAGTTTATCGTTAACTGCTTGACCTCTGGAAGGCATTACCCCCTTCACGACCAGGGCATTTTTTTGCTATTTAGCACTGTACTAGAAGTGCCAATTGTACAGTCATGCAACACTAACCAAATTAAATTTAAATATTTTTCACATAAAATAGAGCTTTCTTCTGGTGGTACGTTAGCCAAAATCACACACACACACACACACACACACACACACACACACACACACACACACACACGGAAATAAGTATTTGATCCCCTGGTGATTTTGAATGTTTGCCCACTCACAAAGAAATAATCAGTCTAAAAATCGAATGGTAGGTGTATTGTAACACAGAGACAAAATAGCAGCACCACAAAATTCAAAAGAAATGCATGTCTGAAAAATTATGCACCGATTTGCATGTTCATGAGGGAAATAAGTATTTGATCCCCTATCATTCAGTAGGATTTCTGCCTACCAGGTGTCTTTCATACAGGTAACAAGCTGAGATTAGAAGCAGTCTCTTAAAGGGAGTGCTGCAAATCTCATTTTGTTACCTGTATAAAAGCTACCTGTCCACGGGAGCAATCAGATTCCAAACACTGCACCATGGCAAAGACCAAAGAGCTGTCCAGGGATGTCAGGGACAAGACTGTAGACCTACACAAGGCTGGACTGAGCTACCAAACTATCGCCAAGCAGCTTGGTGACAAGGTAACAGTTGGTGCAATCATTCACAAATGGAAGAAACACAAAACAACTGTCAGTCTCCCTAGGTCTGCTGCACCATGCAAGATCTCACCTCGTGGAGTGTCAATGATCATGAGAACACTGAGGAATCATCCCAGAACTACACGTGAGGGTCTTGTCAATGATCTCCAGGCAGCTGGGACCACAGTCACCAAGAAAACAATTGATAACACTACACCGACAAGGATTGAAATCCTGCAGTGCCTGTGAGGTCCCTCTGCTCAAGAAAGCACATGTCCAGGCCCGTCGGAAGTTTGCCACTGAACATCTGAATGATGCAGAGGAGGACTGGTTGAAAGTGTTGTGGTCAGATGAGACCAAAGTCGAACTCTCTGGCATGAATTCAACGTGTTTGAAGGAGGAGGAATGCTGCCTATGACCCCAAGAACACCATCCCAACTGTCAAACATGGTGGTGGAAAAATTCTGCTTTGGGGGTGTTTTTCTGCTAAGGGGACAGGACAACTGCACCGCATCAAAAAGACGATGGGCGGGGCAATGTACCGTCAAATCTTGGGTGAGAACCCTCTTCCCTCAGCCAGGGCACTGAAAATGGGTCGTGGATGGGTGTTCCAGCATGACAATGACCCAAGACAACAAAAGAGTGGCTCAAGAAGAAGCACATTAAGGTCCTGGAGTGGCCTAGCCAGTCTCCAGACCTTAATCCGATTGAAAATCTGTGGAGGGAGCTGAAAGTTTGAGTTGCCAAACATCAGCCACCAAACCTTAATGACTTGGAGAGGATCTGCCAAGAGGAGTGGGCCAAAATCCCTCCTGAGATGTGTGCAAACCTGGTGGCCAACTACAGGAAACGTCTGACCTCTAATTGCCAACAAGGGATTTGCCACCAAGTACTAAGTCATGCTTTGTGAAGGGGATCAAATACTTATTTCCCTCATGAACATGCAAATCAGTGCATAATTTGATAGACATGCATTTCTTTTGAATTTTTTGCTGCTATCCTGTCTGTGTTACAATACACCTACCATTCGATTTTTAGACTGATAATTTCTTTGCGAGCGGGCAAACATTCAAAATCAGCAGGGGATCAAATACTTAAAAAAAAAAAAAAAAATAAAAAAAAATTAAGAGGAATGAAAAAGTTTTAAACCCTACATTTTATGCTTTTTGACGTTTTATAAAACAAAAAAAAAAATTTTAAAAATTTATTTTGCTAAGTCTTTGGTAAAATAAAAATCCCAATAAGCGTATATGGTTTGTGTGAAAGTTATAGGGTATACAAATTATGATATATACACTGCAATTTACTCATCCATAGACACTATACTTGTAATGGTGGTAATCAGCGACTTAATGCGATAGTGTGGCAGGCAATACGAGAACACTGTACTAAGGACACTGGCTGGGAGTGTGTTAATATCAAGGGGCAATGAAGGGATAACTGCATGCCTAACAAGTGTAATGTGTGCTGCTTTTACTCACAGATCTGGCTGTTTGGTTTATACTAGGGATGTACCGAAATTTCAGTGGCCGAAACATTTCGGCCGTTATGGGGAAAAAAAAAAAAAAAAAAAAAGGCACAGATACTGGTGCTGAAAAAACCCTGCCCCTCACCGCCGCTGCTCTATAGTTCTCAGCTTTACCTGAGAAGCAATCTAATGATCCTGGAGCTGGGCATAGAGATGAGTGAAGGAAAGATGGCCTCCACTTTTTTTTTTTCTAAAGCACTAGATCAATGTTTGTTTGTTTTTTTTGAGATCCAATGCTGTACATTGCAGAGGAGAGATGTGGGGTCTTACTGACCCCATATCTCTCCATAAAGAGGACCTGTCACAAATTACTTTTAATCACAAGGGATGCATGCATTTCTTGTGATAAAAAAAATGTTAATCACTTTTATTCTTAACGGGACAGTGAAAACAAAAAAACCCCAAAACATTAAATAAATTAAAAAAATAAATAAAGTTTAGTGTCCCCATCCCCCACATAGTGGTGAACGCATACATAGGCCATGCCCACATATGTAAATGTAGTATGTGTTCAAACCACACATGTGAGGTATCGACACAAACATCAAAGCAAGAGCAATAATTCTCGCACTAGACCTCCTATGCAACTACAATGCTAACCTGTAGAAATTTTTAAAGCATCACCCATGGAGATTTTTTAAGTACCACACAGTTTCATGCCATTCCACGAGCGTGCACAATTTTAAAGCATGACATGTTTGGTATCTATTTATGCGACATAACATCCTCTTTCATATTAAAAAAATAAATAAATAAAAAAAAATTGGGCTATATAGTTTTTTTGTTTTTCTTAATCAAAGTGTGTTTTTTCCCCAAAAATCTATATTAATTTTTAAAAACTGTGCATGTCAGTATTCGGCCAAAAGTGCATTTTGATTTTTCGTTTTCGGTACCAGAATTTTCATTTTGGTGCACCACTAGTTTATACCTGTGCATGGACACAGCCAGTCAGTAGGTTTCAGCCGAAATCATTGCCTGAAATTTACTGACAAACCATGCAGTGTCCATTCACAGCACAGTTCAGCAAGAAGTGCAAGCACAGAAACCCAGATGCAGGCAGCCACATATGTACATTGTCTATCCTGCAGCTGCCACCTGCTCGCAGCAAGTGTACTGCAAGCAGGCAGCAAGCGGTTAAACATTGTTTTATAAGCAAATACCTGGATTTCCTTGGGGAAAGTGGCACTGAACATCATAGTCTGACGAACACCCTTGGGAGGCATAGTGTCTTGTTCAACAATTCGTCTAATTTGAGGCTCAAATCCCATGTCAAGCATTCTGTCTGCCTCATCCAACACCAAATACCTAGAAATGTAAAAAAACAAACACCTCAAACATGAATCAAGACCTCAAGAGGCAGAGCAAGCAGCTTTCATAAAATTTGAAAAAATATTTTTAAAAACAAAAACAATAAAAACCAAAGCCACAAAGTGCTGGATTTTTATAGAACTACTTCCTAATAGATTATACCACATACTTGCAACAATCCAGGCCAATCTTTCCACGTTCCATCATGTCAACAAGGCGCCCAGGCGTGGCAACCAGCAAATGACAGCCTCGTTCTAAGTCTCTGATCTGTTGCCCAATATCTGCTCCCCCATATACAACACAAGGTCGTACCCTTGATCTGTATGCAAACTAAAACAAAAAAGGCAGAGAAATGTAAACTCTGTATATTTTAATGAAATTGAAGATTTTTTTGTTTTTTTGTTATGATTTTATACCTTTCTGGCTTCCTCATAGATCTGTACAGCAAGTTCTCTTGTTGGGGCCAGAACAAGGGATAATGGGAACTGCTTACGCCTTCCATATCGCCCGTTATCCTGCAAAGAAAGTGACTATGCATAAAAACAGACAGCAATAACTGCATGAATAAAGGCTGAAAAGGTCTTCAGGAAAGGACATTCATTTAGAAGGCAAATAACTACTTCAGCCCCATACCTTTAAGTGCTTCATTGCTTCTCCGGGGCCATCTGCATAGATCTGACTGAGAATGGGTAGTAAAAATGCTGCAGTTTTCCCAGAACCTAAAAAAAAGGAGAAAAAAAAAAATGGGATTGTCAATTAGGATAAACCAAAAATGCCCATGCATCAGTTATCAGTTTTTAAATTTGCTCCAGGCATTTCTTTTTTTGAGTGGGGAAATCTGATTCCATCATTAGTGAAGTTTCTTCATCGCTATTAATACTAGGAGAAAAAAAAAAAAAAATTCTCTATCTATAAAATTAAATTCCGCCTGAAATAAAAAAATCAGTCAACTTAAATATGGCATAACAATTCAGAATTTATTGTAGTGTATACAAGGACCAAAAGTGTTTTACCTGTCTGGGCACATGCCATCAAGTCCCTCTTTTCTATGATGATGGGAATAGCATGCTTCTGGACTGGGGTTGGTCGAGTGTATCGTGTGAGTTGAATATTTCCCATGATTATTTCCCCCATGCTGACATCATGGAACTTTGGGGAAGAAAAGAAATGAAATACAAATTTATAGCAATGCAACTAAAAATTATTAAACCTTTGTTACTCGTACAATCTAATACAGACTTCAAGAAAATGGTTATCAACGTATGATAGCTGTTATGAAAGCCGGAGTATGTCAAAGTTTTATGTTGAAGGAATATCTGAACACTTGTCTATTGCCAGCATATGAATAAAAAGTTGCTTTACTCTCATTCTTAAAGTGGTTGTAAACCCGTACATATGCCCAGTAAAGCGACTTGCCTCGGGTGATATCCAGAGATGTAACAAATCCTCCTACATAAGTTGCACCTGTTTATCTGCAGCCATTTGCCCTGCACATCCTTGTAAACCTCAGATGTAAAGGATTTATCACATGGGGGCAAAGAAGGGGGCTGGGAGCTGCAGTTACGGTGACACACGTAAACACTACATAAAAATATGCTTTGTTCAGAGTTCTTGTCTGAGGTTTACAACCACTGAAATTGGATAGCTATGGAGCCTGGTAATACAAGAGATTACATTTCACATACACTTTCAATATGTGGGGGGCAGTTTGTGCCAGTTGCTTCAACTGGAATGTCATCATACTTCTCAAAGTTAATGCCAGTATTACTTCCAGAGAAGAGCTCCCTGTGTGGAAAAGAAATAAAAATTAATGAATCACAAAAAACACCAAAAAAAAAAAATCTCATGCATATGAATAAATACTCACTGCTCTACACGATCATTTGGTGCAAGAGGCTTTGACCAATCGTCTTCATCATTTCTCTCATCGCTCCAACGGCTGTTTCCACGATCATATCTACCCATGCTAGATCGGTCACTGCGACTACCCATGCCATCGAAGCTATCTAAGCGACGGTCATCAGATCTAAGCACAGAACAGAAGCAGTTTGCATCCCTCTTCCATATGCTCAAAGATAAGCCGAGAACTTAACCAGGAAAAAAAAACTTATGAGAATTGTTGGCTTCAAATATTCTGCAGGATTGTTTCATACCCCCCTTGGGAACTGAAGGTAACTTCCCTACCATCAACACTGGGAGACGTCTGTTGACTGCTTCACATTTCACTTAATGAAAAATATCAGCAGTGAGACTCCCACTGTAGCCAGGCAAGTCAATACTAAAGTATAACCTGCAGTTGGTGCTGTAGGAAATAAAAAGACATGGGCAAACAATCCTTTTACAGGCACACGTCAGACACAGAAATAGATTTTCAATATATTTCAAAATATTTATGGGTATGAATAAAGCAAAAAGGCTAAAAGCAGTTTGACAAGAGAGGAATAATAAAAAAAAAAAAAAATCTGTGTGAGAAAGCTGGTAGCTCTTCATACACTGCAGGCTAAAGTTCTGTGGTGTACTGAAAGCTTACCTGATGCGCAAAAGGTCCTTTACAAGTTTAGGCCGTGGCTGCCAAGGTGTGAGAACAGCGCACAGGACTAGCCCCTCAGGATTATTGGAGTGGATTATTGGAGTGGAAAGGATCACACTAGACTTATGTGCACAAAACACAAAGCATTTAATAGCCATTTGATTAATAACACCCTCCCCCCAAAAAAAAACACCTAGAAAGTTGATGCAACACATTTGCGATTCTAAACCTAGAATTAAGTTTTGATCTTCTCAGGTTCAGACAAATGCAATCATCTCTGAAAACAAACAACTAAAAACTCTTCCTGCGCCTAGTGAAACACCCTACTATAGGTTCTATCCTGCTGCTGTGCAATGTGATCAACACAAATTGTAAAAAATATATAAATAAACAGCGCAAACATAGACCTCTATATCAAATCAATATACAAAGTGCAAACATATATAAAAAATTAAATAAAAATAGTGAAGTCCATCAAACTTAATAAACACAAAATTCAAAAATAGTTTGTGCAAACAGAAATTTTCAAATTCTTCTTCTATTATAAAGAAACTTCCACCTTCCACCCGTGAAAACCAACATCAAATGCACTCACCAGATTAAGGTAAATGAAACGCCTTTTAGGAATTTATGGGATCCTAAACCCTCTTTGGTATCCACTCTATAGGAATCCTCACCTCCAGCATAGACTCCACCATCCAACCAGGGAGAAAAAAACTCAGATAGTGTAATATTGCAAAACACCATTCATAAGTGAAATCAAGGATTAAGGCCACTCAATAAATATGCCTTTTTAAAGCGATTATAATGTGAGTGGCCTTAATCCTTGATTTCACTTATGAATGGTGTTTTGCAATATTACACTATCTGAGTTTTTTTCTCCCTGGTTGGATGGTGGAGTCTATGCTGGAGGTGAGGATTCCTATAGAGTGGATACCAAAGAGGGTTTAGGATCCCATAAATTCCTAAAAGGCGTTTCATTTACCTTAATCTGGTGAGTGCATTTGATGTTGGTTTTCACGGGTGGAAGGTTCTTTATAATAGAAGAAGAATTTGAAAATTTCTGTTTGCACAAACTATTTTTGAATTTTGTGTTTATTAAGTTTGATGGACTTCACTATTTAATTTTTTATATATGTTTGCACTTTGTATATTGATTTGAAATGCAATCATCTACCTCAAACAAAAATGTGCTCTCTGAAAACAGAAGTCTAGAAGACTAGAAAAAATTTGAGAAGCTAGAAGGCTGATGCTTTTTGTGCTAGCATGACAGTACTGCATAGTGTTGGCTAGTCGAGACAGAATATTGGTATGGCCAATGGCAAAGAGCTATTCTTAATGATTAGCCATCAGATCATGGAATTTTAAAAGCAGATCTCCAGTTATGAATCTTATTGCACAGTTACATTAGTTCAGCTTAGACTAATACAAGTACCCATATACCATACCTGTGGGATCACTGTGGATGCCAGGAATCACTGTAGTCTTTGCTACTACAGTGATGACTGCCATTTTCCATGTCCTTTGCTCAGGAAAGGGAAGTCACCCCACTGAACATGAATGCCATTCACAGAACACCTTGCATTTTTCTCAATGAATGCAAGGCTTTTGAATGTGGTGGAGTTGTAGGGGTGGTGATTTCACGATCTCCAAGTCACAAAAAGAACAGGACCCAGGATCACTGCTGCAGCAGCAGCTGCCCTGCTACATACCATGGAGGGGGAAGGGGGCATGGGGCAATTAACAGAACACCTTGTATTTTCAATGAATGCAAGGAGTTTTCTTATTTTAGGTCAAGATCATGTCACCATATCCAAAGGCCTTGCATTTATCAAGAAAAACACAAGGCATTGTATGAATGGCACCTGTGGAACCTGGTAGCAAACATTATGGTAGCAGAAACTACAGTGATTTCCAGCTTAAACAGGAATCCCACAGGTATGGCATATGCATACTTACTGGTCTAAGTTTGACCAAATGTAACGAATACAAACCTTTATAAAACTTTAAAAGCTAGTGAGTCCAAGCATATGGTAACCATCAAGATACAAACATCAATTTTTAACTATTAACAAGCAAATTTATATTAAATGGCTTAAGTGCCACATGAATGAGCGCCAGCTGTGGACCCTAGCGGAGGAGGATCAGGGCTGCTCTGTGCAAAACTACTACACAGAGAAGGCAAGTATATGTTATTACAAAAAAATGCTCAGCACTTATTTCATTCTAAAACAAAGACTCAAGATACTGCATATATTAAAGGATGAACATTTCAAGAAATTAAATAGTAACTTTGTTCTTGTCCGTACCAGGAGGATTTCAACCTACAAGCCATGTGGTTTAAAAGTCACAGAAGCAAAAAGGCTATTATCTCTTACATCATAAAACACTTTCCAAGCAGTCCACAAACTGAAGGATGAATGCACACCCACCTGTAGCCAGTTCCTAACACTAATGAAAATTTAAAAAGTCATGCCTATTTAGCAAAAAAAAAGGCGGTCCAAACTCACCTCCGACTTCCACTTCCTCTATCACTGAATAAACCTGATTTTCCACGGTCATTGCGTGATCCAAAGCTGCTGTAAGCATCTTTGTCTCTTGAATTCCACCCAGAATTATCTCTATCATAAAATCCTAAAAATAGAAAATAGAAATGCAAAAACTTTATTCCTTATCCTTTTTTCTTATAAGAGCAAAAATGAAAGCCTAAAACACATGGATAAAAAAAAAAAAAAAAAAAAAAAAAAAAAAAAGTAATGCAGGGATCTCATAATCTATAGATCCTACTCAGAAACTTCTGGCCAAAAAACAATGGATGATCTTTTCTACCAATTACCATTGCTTCAGATCCCAATCAAAGTTCTCATTTGTGATGTGCGCTAATGAGGCTGCACTGATGGGCACTGAAAGGCAGCTCAGACTGGCACTGATGGACAATGACAGTTGGCATTGATGGGGCTTCACTGATAATCTTTAACCGCTTCCCACCCGCCATATAGTAATATGACGGGCGCAAGGCGGTTCTCTCATTCTGGGAGGACGTCACGACGTCCTTCCCATTCTCACCGTGCATGTGCGGCTCCAGAAGCGCGCAGCTCGGCAATGCACTGTGTCCCTCGGACACAGCAGATCACCGATCAACGGAAAGAGCCAAAGATGTCAGCTCGGTCATGTAATCAGCTGTGTCCAATCACAGCTGATCTCATGTAAATAGGGACATGCCGGTTATCGGCATTTCTCTCCTCACAAGCTGTCACGCCGACAGCTTGTGAGGAGAGGAGAGCAGGTAATCTGCATCCCTCAGAGGGGACATGTGCACTGATGATCAGTGTGCTCTGATGATCTGTGTAGCCCCAGCAGTGCCACCTGTCAGTGTCCATCAGTGCCAGCTGTCAGTGCTCATCCATGCCACCTGCCAGTGCCCATCAGTACCAGATTAATGTCATATTTCAGTGCCTACCAGTGCACATCAATTCCACATATCAGTGCCCATCTGAGCTGCCTTTCAGTGTCACCTATCAGTGCCACCTAACAGTGCCAGTCAGTGCTGACTGTCAATGCCAGTCAGTGCCGCCTAACAGTGCCATATGTGTGCTGCCTTTCAGTGCCACCTACCAGTGCCTCCTCATCAGTGCAGCCCATCACTGCAGCCTCATTGGCGTACATCAGTGAAGGAGAAAAACCACTTATTTACAAAATTTTTGTAAACAAAAACTAAGAAAAAATGGGGGGTTATTTCAAAATTTTCAGTGGTTTTTGGTTTAAGAAAAAATAAAAACCCAGGTGATTAAATACCACCAAAATAAAGCTCTGTCACAAAAAAATTATAAAAAAAAATTTAATGGGTAGTGTTGCATGACCGCGCAATTGTCATTCAAAGTGCAACAGCACTGAAAGCTGGAAATTGGCCTGGGCAGGAAGGGGGTATAAGTGCCCTGTAGGCTAGTGGTTAATTTATTCACACAGCTTATATGTTGGGTTTCACTGCCATTATTGGGGATGTTGTATCAAATGACTGACAGTTTGAAAACAGTCAAGTTCAGTATATAAGAAACATTTACCTCTGTCGGTGCGGCCAGATCCTCTACTTGCATATCCAGCGCGATCATACCCATTCACGCGACTGTCCCGATCATCATGTGTGCCATTCATATAGCCATTTCCACCCCGCCCAGCGTCCCAGCCCGAATCTTTCAAGGAAGATAATAAGATAAGAACCAAATTGCAAGGAGGCACAGCTAAAGAAATTAACCCAGTCTGGTGTTTTATTTTAGTAGATACAGTGTATACTATAGTGAAAATTTAGACATGACCCAAACCAACCATTAAAAACTAGTGTCTAAAAGCAAGCTAAAGCAAGCTGAGAAACCCCAGTGTAATGCATGTTACATGCACATTAGTAATATTTAATTGCTGCCAGATTGTCACGTGAAAAATCATGAACGGATTTGTTTCTCCAGTAAATCAAGTAAACACCAAGAATGTAGCAGAAATTTTTAATTTAGAACTAAACAATGGATCAGAATAAGCCTGCATTGGAGTCTGATTAAAAGTTAGCATGAATAAAATTAACATAAATTCTTGCAGAACATGAATGCAGGCTTTTAATATAAAAATACATGTGATCATAAGATACCAAAGATGCCATGAAGTTGAATTGAACTGCTACAATATCTCAGGTATGTGCTTCACAATTGAGAGCAATTTGTTTAGAATACCACTGCAATTCACAGGCAGCTCAATGGCTAGCTTATGCAGGCCAAGCTATTGTGCAGCCAACACACCAAGACAGGTAACCAACCGTACCAGTTCTTTGGGACCACCAATCACCGTAGCCCTTATACACATCTACAGGTGGGTATTGACACCTTGGATAACCTACATAATAATAAACCTTTCAGAATAATATTCACCAATCTCAAAAATTATACAAACTAAATAGATGGTGACTAAATGGTTTTATTTTAAAAATTGGTCTTAAAAAAAAATAAAAATAAATAAAAATATAATGGATATATATATCCAAAGAAACTGAAGGTAGAATAACTGCATAAATCTGACATGATTTTAATAGGCAAGGTCAAATAACCCTTTACAATACTGTAACACTAGGAAGCAACCCACACTTACCATTCCTTGAAGCTTCCTTGTTTCTTAAGTGAGGAGGAATGTAACGCCCTTCTAGGATGAAAGGAAATTTTAGTAAGGTTTCTTACTCTATTCTTTTCAGAATCAGGATTAGAAGCATTCATAGCTCCCTGCTACAAAAAAAAACAAAACAAAAAAAAAAACCACAAAAAAAAAAAAAAAAAAAAAAAAAAACTCCACACACGCAAGGGTACTTACTAGTAGCAGAGCCACCACTCTGGGAGTCGGAATTCAAGTCTAGGCCAGCAAACTAAAAAGGAAAAAAAAAAGCCAAATTGTTAAATTCATGTTTGATATCTTGGACTGCAGCTTTTTAACTAGATGATGCTGTTTCATGATTCTACTGCAATGCATTGCTCAGAACTTGTAAACAAAGACATCTTCTGGCTAGATTTGGTACTACAGCTAAAGACAAGCAAGATGTTACGAAAGACAAAATGGAGGTATGCCAACAAAAGATGCTTCTGCAAAATTGGCACTGTCAAATCTCAGGCATTTAGTGCAAACAGAAAGATTCCACATGACATTTCATGTCGTAACTAAAAACATAGACTGGGGTTTTACAGTCACACGATGGGGGGGCTTCTGAGAAATCAAGAGAATATTCAAATAAAGTATGAAGAGTGGTTATAGTATATTTTTCCTTCATACTTTAATGACCCAAATGTCAATAGCAAACTTCATTTTCAATATGGCAATCTAGAAAGTTAAACTTATACAAATTAAAAGCTGTAATGAAATGTGGAGGCTGGGAAAGAAAAAAAACCAAAAACAAAACAAAAATACATGCCTACGGTCATGAAACAAATCATACATTAGCTCTGCGATAGAGACAGCCATCAACACTATGGACTGAGCAGGAAATCCACAAAGTATCATGAACTCTATCAAGATCATCTGCAAAAAGCAAACATGGAGATCGCAAAATGCAATTGGTGAAACAGTTGTGGCCTAGAGGAAATATACCTTCTTAAATCTGCAACACCCAATATCAAAAGAAGAAAAGCTACCAAAGTCAATGACAAAGTGAACACTACCATCATAGGATTCAATTTACAAAAGGTCCACACTACTCTTCATGTTAAAAAGAGCACTGAAATAATTGTGTCCAAACACAAAAAAGGAACATTAAAACAGATCTGGGCTACACACTGACTGCATGTTCTATCCAGATAAACACTGCACACAGCCAGATCATTTAAGGCAAGAACAGAATAGAAAGAGAGCTTAACCAAAGCAGACTGTGGAGACCAGGCATACCTCAGAGGACGATCAGTAGGTCACAGCAGATTTGATAATCTGTTAAGAACTGACAGACTAAAGTAATTTTTAGAAATTCTTGGAGAGACTGCTCCACCCATGTAAATTTCTTTTTTTTTGGCAGCACTAAAATAATTACCTTGGCCATAGACATTTTAAAGCACAGGCCTTGCTGACATTAAAGCAGAGTTCCACCCAAAAGGCGAAGTTCTGCTTTAATGCTTTGTCCCCTGCTCCCCATAGGCGATCAAAAGCAGAAGTTGTCTGTCCTCCCCATAGTCTTCTGGGACACAACAGGTCCCAGAAGACTACAGGGCCATTCATAAAGAGCAGCGCTTCTTGTGCATGTGCAGTGGGCACCTAGCTGTGAAGTCGTAAGTTGTCACAGCCGGGTCTCCACACTAAAGATTCTGGTGCCAGGGAGAGAAGACAGTCCGTGAAACCAAAGGTGTATGTATAGGTAAATCAATTTGTTTTGGATGAAGTAGGAAAGGGCTAAATCCATAGTTTTGTTGCCCACATGGAGAGATTTCCTCTCACCTTCTGCCATAGGGATGAAGTAGGAAATGAGAAGAAATCTACAAAGAAAGGAGGATTCCCCTGAGAATGTTATCACCGGAACATCTAGTGTTACCTGTTCTTCTGGTTCTGGTGATCACTAAACGTTTGAATTAACCAAGCTGTGACAACTGTCCCCAGAATAAAAAGTAAACCTCCTATAAAAAGGGACACCGGCAAAAAAAACAAAACAAAAAACTTGTCGGAATAGATGGGTTAAAAGTTTTTTTTTTGGGTTTTTTTTTTACTTTAGATACACTATATGGCTTTATGTCACCGAGCTGGAAAATGCAGGATGATCAGATGTCCTGACTTCACTTGCTGCATGCTTGTTTGGGATTCAGTGGCAAAACTGACCCCCCTTGCCTCAGCGCCAAACCCTGGGTAAATACAAGATTTCCAAATCTCACAAGTGGGTTGAGGAAACCCTCAATGGGGAGATGGAGGCAAGTTGGAAAGGTAAAGGGGGGAGGTAATAAGGGAAAACGAAGGGGAGTTGCCAGCTAGTCAGAGCAGAAAAAAGACCGGATCGGCTCTATGACAAAGTAACCCTGAAGAGATGACCTGATACCACTTCTGGTTTACTCAGAACTAAAAGGCACCGTTCTCAAAAAATAAAAATGTAATCACGTTTATCTTGATGTGATCGAATGCTTTTAAGGTGACCCTGGATCTCTCTATAAAGAGTACTCGTCACAGGCCTTTCACTGTCACAAGGGATGTTTACATTCCTTGTGAAAGCAAAAAAAAAAAGTTTTTAAAATGACAATTGAGCAGAAAAAAACAAAAAACAAAAAAAGGACAATATTTTGGACTTTTTGCTATTAACCACTTGCCTACTGGGCACTTGTACCCCCTTCATGCTCAGGCCAATTTTCAGCACTGTTGCACTTTGGACGACAATTGCACGGTCATGCAACATTGTACCCATATGAAATTTTTATCATTGTTTTCATACAAATAGAGCTTTCTTTTGGTGGTATTTATTCGCCGCAGGGTGCTTTATTTTTTTGCGCTTTTTTTATTTGTATTATAAAATAGAAAACAGGTAATTTTTCTCCTTCACTTATGTGTGTTGATGAGGTGGCACAGAGAGGCAGCACTGATATGCAACAATGATGGGCACTCATAGGCGGCACTGCTGGGCCAATCCGTCCTTTGAAAATTGCCGGTTATCGGCAGTACTTTCCTCACGATGTGACAGCGCGAGGAAAGTGCAGCCAATAACTGGCAACTGCATTTACAGGTGATCTGCTGTGTCATTGGACACCGCTGATCATGTGGTAAAGGCCGCTGTGATTAGCCTTTCACCACATCACGTGATAAGCTGTGTCCACAGGACACAGCAATCACAGAGATCGCCGGGGATTGCGCGTTCTGGGAGGACGTCATGACTCCCTCCTAGGACTGGACAACCGCGCTGTAGCCATCATTTGGCTATAGCACTGTTGCCAAGTGGTTAAACATGTCCAGTAATTTTTTTTTTTTTTTTTTTTTTTTAAATCAAAATTTCGTCATAAAAAAAAAAAAAGCCCAATACATGTAAATTAATTGGTTTATGTGAAAGTTATAGCTTTTACAAATGGCAGCATAGATACTGGGATTTTTTTTTCTTACCCTACTAGTAATGGAGGCAATCAGCAACATTTAGCGGGTCTGCGGTGGACATACTGACATGGGGGGGGGGGGGGGGTCAGACGACTGTCACTGACATACCCAGTGACACCAATACAGTGATCAGTGCAAAAAAAATAAATAAAGCGCCGACACTGTACTAATGACACTGGGCAGGAAGGGGTTAACATGAAAGTGATCAAAGGGTTAACTATATGTAGGGAGTGTTTTACTAGGGGGTGGAGTGTGCTTCACTGTAAGCACACTGATAGGGGTGGCTGTGCTGTGCATGCGTGCCCCCTACCCCGTCTATACACATGATTTTGCGCACCCGTGCTGCCCTATAGCAGAATTCCTGCTATAATGCGGTTGGGAAGCGGTTAAAGCAATAGTGTAGAACAAAAAAAAAAAAACATTTTTTAATATACAATTTAAATATTTAATTTAAAAAAAGAAATTGCCCCCTCGAGTGCTTGCACACAAAGGCAAATGCGCACGACAATCCTGCACGCAAACAGCAATCATCCCACACGTGAGGTATTACAGCAAACGTTAGATCATGGGCAGCAATTCTAGCATCAGACCTCCTCGGTAACCTGTAAAGGCTTTTAACCACTTCAGCTCCAGGAAATTTTACCCCCTTCGTGACCAGGCCATTTTTTTGCAATGCGCGCACTGCGCTACTTTAAGTAGCAATTGTGTGGCCATGCAACACTGTATACAAATGCAATTTATATCTTTTTTTTTTTCAAACAAATGGCTCTCTTATGATGGTATTTGATCACAACGTATTCTTTTAATTACATAATTTAAAAAAAAAAAAGATTTTTTTTCTATTATAAACCATATCCATTAAAAAAAATCCAATTTCTCAATAAAATGACCTTTTTGGAAAGTAGAGAGGTATTTAGTAAGACATTCTGCAAGTTTTTTTAAGTTAAAATTTTTTTTGTCACAGTGCCCTAGTCTGTGCAGCCAAAAATGATGTACGGGTATGTTGCTCTGTCTGTACGTGCTGCCTGCAGCAAATTACTGTAGGCTTGGTAAGAGGTTAAAGCATTGGCTGTGGATAGTAAAAGTTACATTGTTTGTCACCGTTGCACAGAACATGCAATTCTAAAGCATGACATGTTTGGTATCCATTTACTCGACATAACTTTTTTTTAATGTAAAAAAAAAAAAAAAAAAAAAAAAAAAAAAAAAAGGGTCATGGATTGTTTTTGCATTAATTTTTTTTTTTATAAAAGTATTCTCCCCCCCCAAAAAAAAATTATTAAAACCAATCAATTTATGCTCTATGGCAGCCTCTCAACCTTTTCAACGCAGATGAACCCTCGACAAAAAACTTTCCAGTCTCCGGGAACCCCTGCTAATATTGACCATCTACAATTCAGGATACATTGGTTTGATAGTCAGAGGTAAGAATGCTCCTTACACTTGTGGTCATGGTCAGTGGGAAGAATTACTCCCTTAGAGTGCTAAAAAGATCAATGGTGTCAGTGAGAACTTACCTGGGAGGCAAATATTGCTCATGGAACCCCTGGCAACCTGTGGAGGAATCCTAGGGTTCCACGGAACCCTGCTCTACAGCCTCTGCTTTAAATATACGTTTAGAGGCTTTAAGAAATTGTGGCAAAAAATACTACTCGTGTTACACGTAAACAAAAAGTGGCTCAAGAGTTAAATAGGCATTGCATATTAAGAATTCTATAAGATTTAAAAAGGGACACTTTTTATTGCTTTTTAAAGTGGAACTTCGCTCTCAGACTATTTTTACACCTTATGCTGCTAGCATTAGCAGATAGGAAAGCATATCATATTTGTTTTTAAATTTTTTGTTACTTCCTGGTTTCTAAGCCTAGGTAAATTATGTCATACACCCCAGCAGTATTCAGGAGGGGAGGGCTCTCTGCTAAGCCAATGCCTGAGCTAATGGTAGATGGATTCCAGGAAGTAAATGATACATGAATCATCTGCCCTTACTCAAGATGGCCACTGCCAGGAATGCCAGTGGACATTTTTCAAAACAATTTCTCAGTAAAATAAAAGCAGAGACATGGATGAATGGCTGAGTTCACTTTGAATATTAAAAATGAATTAAGTGCCCGATACTAGTGCAATTTGCGAATTGAAATCGCACCTGGTGAATGTCAGTGTCTTTACATGTCCAATTTGCTGCAGCGCGATTTCTAAAGTGTTCTTGCTTTACTTTTTCGGCAGTTTATTGTACTTTCACATACATAGAATATAATGGAAATTGCAGCAAAAAGTTTTAAATCTTCACAAATCTGCAGAAATCACACGATTTTTAATCGCAGCGGTGTGACCAGTGACAGCAGTGATTTGCAAATTGAAATCACACCTAACAAATGCGAATGTCAGAGTCTTAACGTGCGATTTGCTGCAGCGCAATTCCAAAGTTAGTGCTTGCTTTACTTTTTCTGCAGTCTATTGTAATTTCACATACAAAGAATATAATGGAAAACGCAACATACGCGAAAGAAAAATTGGAAAATCCTCACAAGTCTTCAGAAATCGCACGATTTTAAATCGCAGCGGTGTGACCAGTGACAACAGTGCGATTTGCGAATTGTAATCACATCTAATGAATGCGAATGTCAGAGTCTTAACGTGCGCTTTGCTGCGGCGCAATTCTGAAGGTAGTTCTTACATTACTTTTGCTGCACTGTATTGTAATGTCACATAAAATGGAAAATGTGAAATAAAATGGAAAATACACGCAAGAAATCTATGAAAAGCCTCAAGTCTTCAGAAGTCACACACAAATTGTGCGATTTTAAATGGCAGCAGTGTGATCAGTGACTAAACAGCATTTTTGGTTTGTGGTGCTCAGGTGCGGCGTAGTTCCACTTTAAAACACCAAAAGAGTCAAAAACTGTTCAGTATTCAAGGGAGGAAAATGTAACACAAGATCGAGTCATCCTACACACTTTGTAAAGACCTGATCCCTGTACACACATAACATACAAGTGTTTGGCCAGCCCTGATCTTTCCAAAAACGAGGGTCAGTCAGTCAATATAGAAACTATAGAATTGAAAGGCAGCACTCCTCTGGAGATCGGGGCCCTGATCAGGTTAAATCGTCACCTTACTACCACAGCTACGTCCGATTGTTGGGGAGGAAAGGTGGTTAGAAAGTACTGGGCTGGAAATGGAGGCCATTGTGATGGGGGGAGAGGAGACTAGGCTGGCGGAGTGTGAGTAAGCCGGCTGCGTGTCTTCCCCCTCCCCTTTCCTCTCACAAAGGCCGCCATTGTGAAGCTACGCTAGCAAGGCCTACATTCCACAGCGTGCCCCCCTCTCCCCCATCAGATCAGATCCCAGGGTTGGGGGGGATTTCCAGCCTGGGAACACGAGGGGGGAGCCCTAAGCGGCGTCAGCCGGGCCCGGCCTATGACTCACCACCCCTGGCACTGATGACGCACCCGCTCCTCCCGGGACAAACCAGTACAAGACGATCCCCGGCAACGGCGAACACTGTAGTGCCGGTTTACCTCAGTGCCGCCGCTCCCCATAGACTAACACGAGGTGAATTATGTAAGTGCGCACACAGGCGCTCCATCCCCGAACTAGGCCGCTATTGTCTACTCGGCCACAGACGACCCCCACACAAACACTTTACCTGCTGGTCTAGACCGTGAACATTTTCGACGGCCACATGACTCATAACTAAACGATAAGAAGGCCGGGGTCCCTCGGGCAGGAAAATGGTCGGTTGTGATTCGTTTCGGAGATGACGAGAAGTGAAGAGAATTACGGCTATCTTTGAATTTTTTTCACACGTGGTATTTCTTACGTCTAACAAAAAAAAAGTTGGTACTCTGTAAGACTTTAATTTTCGCTCTTTTTCGTCAAATGACGAAATACTTGCGAAGCGAACAGTAAGAGAGACTGCTCCCAACTGAACGCCCGGGCGAGCCGGGCCGCCCTCTTATATACGGACGGCGTGGTGTTGACGCAAGGACGCAGAGTTGAGGACGCCAGGAAAGTGGGCGGAATGGAGTTGGTGCGCGCGAGAGAATGCTGGGCTTAGCTGTGCGGCGCGGTGCTTGTCTCCAGGTAGCTTGCTCCGGAGCCAGCCTATAGGAAGCCGGCGCCGGCCTGGAACGATCGCGATATCTGTTGGCGCTCCACCGCCCGACTCGCGTAGCTGCGGCCGAGAACAGGCTCAGAGCCGGAAAAGCCTTGGGTAGTGTGCCCGGGTGACGTCAGGGAAGAGAGGCTGTGCTTTGTGTTGTTTGGTGCGGATTTTTTTAGGTTGGGTTCCGATAATGTAATGGTGCGTCATTTCACCCGAACTACACTGGAGTGTTGCAAGACATCACAGTTCGTGAAAGGGCGTGTATTCCCTGTATATACGTCGTTAGACGTGTGTAAACGTTGTACCCCTCATGGTACAGCTCTACACTTGTCTCTCACACTTACTCTGGTCCCTGTTTGATATAGACACGTGTAAGCCGAGTGGTTTCTTTGCCATGTAGCGAGTAGTCTGCTCCTCTACTATCCCATGGGACCAACTTACACCTCACACTTCCCGAAGAGGTGTACTTTCTGGCCTCTAAGGCTGGCTATACATTATACAATTTTCTTGAGAATTGTGCTTTAGGTTTACCAAAAACCATATGAGGTCAAACCTAACCACACTTTCAATTGTATCCAATTAGGCAGGCCCTTGTGCTACATAGTTGAAGGTAAGTCTAAAAATTGTATAGTGTATGGCCAGCCTAGGGATGGCTCTGAGTGAAATACTTCAGGGCAGACTACCCAGGTCATCCTCCTGGCTGAAGTCCCTATGTCTGAATAACTAATGGAGCCAGAGGCATAACTAGAACCTTCAGGGCCCCACTGCAAGAAACCATGAAGGCTGAAGTGGCCCTTTGTTGCGATATCACAGCAGGACTCTTGTCTGCAGTGGTGGAATGCCAGGGCCTGGTTGCAAATGCGACCTTTATGACCCTAGTAGATCCGCCACTTGTGTCAGTAGTTTGACTTTTTTTTTATTTTTTTACACTTTTTAGGAGTGCTTTTGTGAGATATCAGGGGGGTCTAAACAGACCTCTGATGTTCCACCTTTGAGACTGAGGAGAAGACCCTCAATCTCCATCTCTGCAGCCTCAGCAGTACAGAATGAATGGACAGGAATGGCTCTGTACAGAGCTTCCTGTTCATTCACAAACGGAGGCATAGTAAACCATTTACTATGCTTCAGTTATGAATGAACAGAGTAGGTGATCAATACTTATCACTGACTGTCCATTCAGAAAAGGAAGGAGCTGGTAAATTACATATTTACCGGCCTGTTCCCCACTCTCCATCCTGACATATCCACCCACAGAAGCCTGTGAGAGAGGGGAGGGGGGAAGCCGTCAGAGCTGCAGGGGACGAGGGGAGCACATGGAGAAACAGAGCCTGGATAGGAGGGGCAGTGGGGACAGCATATAGAGGAACTGATCCCCTCTATTTTCCCCTTGCAGCCGTTGAATGCTTGCAGGAGGGAGAGGAGGAGAAGCAGGCTTTTCAGTGACTGCAGGAGAAAAATGGAGGCATTGGTTCCTCTATATATGGCGCCCTCCGTCAACCCTCCTATCCAGGTGTACAGGGGGAGATGAGTGGCCAGTTTAGGTTGAAATCGGGAGACTTACCCTCCTGTTGAGGGCCAGATCTTTACTCTGCCAATGATCCACTACCTACCTCCAGGGGTATGTCGCTAATAGGCCCCCAGCACCTGTGGTCCTGGTGGTTCATCTCTGAATCTTCTAGCAGTACCAAGAATTCCAGAGTACTTGGAGAAAGGAAACATTTTAAACCATAAAACTTTTTGGAGAGTCCGCAGATTGCATGGGGCATATCCCCACTAGATGGGGGAGAGGAATTTCAGCCTTTCAGTGGGTGGGTGCATATATACCAGCACCTGCAAACTCATCTCGTCTCTGAAATGGGAAGGGGTTTTCTTTAAAAAAGCCATTCACACAATATAATAGAAAAAAAAACATTCATAATCCAATGAGATTCGATGTGAATATCGTGCTCTCACCACTGCCAGACCCCACAAAATGGCGCTCCCGCGTCACTTCCAGTTCCTAACATCACTTCCATTCGCTGCACAGCCTCATTCTGACGTGTTTTGTCACTTCTGACTTAGTCTTAGAGATCCCTATGACTAAGTCGGAAGTGATAAAACGCGTAAGTGAGGCTGTGCAGCAACCGGAAGAGATGTTAGGAATCGGAAGTGATGTGCGCCATTCTGTGAGGTCCAGCGGTGGTGAGCGCACGATACTCACATCTAATGTCATTAGATTATGATGAGCATTTCTTAAAATTGTATTTTGTGAGTGGCTTTTTAAACTTAATAATGCAGAGATTATTGGTTATTGTACCATTGGAGTATATCTCTTACTTTTACATTATTATTATTATTATTATACAGTATTTATATAGGTTTGCTCAGCGCTGTACAATAGCAAGGGGGACAGAACATGAGACAAGACAGTAACCATACAATACACAAGGGATTCAAGGGCCCTGCTCTTTCGAGCTTACAATCTAGGGGTTGAGGGGAAAGTGGTACAGGAGGAAATGGCTGTGGGGGGAGGAGTGGAGGAGGTTAGTTGTTAGGTGCGGTCAGGGGTTAGGTAAGGTTGGGATAGGCTTCCCTGAAGAGGAGGGTTTTCGGGGTGCGCCTGAAGGTGAGGAGGGTAGGTGACAGTCTGATGGATTGGGGTAGGGAGTTCCAGAGGATGGGGGAAGTCCTAGAGAAGTCCTGCAATTGGGTGTGGGAGGAGGAGACCAGGGAGCTAGAGAGTAGGAGGTCCTGTGAGGAGCGGAGGGCACGGGTAGGGTAGTATTTGGGTATTAGGTCGGTTATGTAGTTTGGGGCGGCGTTGTGAATGGCTTTGTAGGCGAGAGTTAGCAGTTTGAATTTGATGCGTTGGGCAACCAGGAGCCAGTGAAGGGATTGGCAGAGGAGGGAGGCGGATGTGGAGCGGTTGGTGAGGTGGATGAGTCTAGCCGCTGAGTTCAGGATCGACTGGAGTGGGGATAGCGTTCGTTTGGGTAGGCCAGTGAGAAGGGAATTGCAATAGTCCAGGCGTGAGATGAGGGAGTGTACGAGTTGTTTGGTGGTGTCTGGGGTGAGGAATGTGCGTATCTTAGAGATGTTGCGGAGGTGGAGCCTGCAAGATCTAGATAGCAGTTGGATGTGGGGTAGGAAGGAGAGGTGGGAGTCCAGGGTGACACCCAGGACTTTGGCGTGTGGGGTGGGAGAGATGGTGGCGTTGTTAGTAGTGATGGAGAGGATGGGGGGAGGGAAGACCAGGAGCTCGGTTTTGGATAGGTTAAGTTTGAGGAAATGGAGCGACATCCAGTCTGATATGTCGTTTAGGAGGTGGGCGATGCGGGCGGAGAGTGAGGGGGTGAGGTTGGGGGTGGAGAGGTAAATTTGGGTGTTGTAAGCATAGAGGTGGTAATTGAAGCCGTGGGAGTGAATAAGTTTGCCAAGGGAGGAAGTATAGATGGAGAAGAGGAGGGGTCCAAGGACAGAGCCTTGGGGGACCCCGAAAGAGAGGGGGAGGTGGCAGTGTTGTAGGTGACGCTGAAGGAGCGTTGGGAAAGGTAGGAGGAGAACCAGGAGAGAGCAGCGTCCCTGATGCCAAGGGAGTGCAGTTTGGCAAGGAGGAGAGGGTGGTCAACAGTGTCGAAGGCCGCGGAGAGGTCAAGGAGCAGGAGGATAGAATAGTGGCCATTGGCTTTGGTGGTTAGCAGGTTGTTGGTGATTTTAAGTAGGGCGGTTTCAGTGGAGTGCAGGGGACGGAAGCCAGACTGTAGGGGGTCAAGCAAGGAGGTTGTTATCAGTGAGGTGGGCGCTTAGGCGATTGTAGGCCAGGCGCTCAAGGAGCTTGGAAGTGAAAGGCAGCAGGGAGATGGGTCTAAGGTTGTTAAGGTTAGTGGGGTCAAGGGAGGGTTTTTTGAGTATGGGGGTGATGTGTGCGTGCTTTAGAGGGGAGGGGAAGGTGCCGGTGGAGAGGGAGAGATTGAATATGTGGGTGAGGGAGTGAATGATGGGGGGGGGGGGGGGGGGGTGTGACTGGAGGAGCTGTGAGGGGATAGGGGGCAGGTGGTGAGGCGGGCTTCAGTGAAGATCTTAGAGACCTCCTCAGGGCTAATTGGGCTGAAGGAGCGGAGTGTTGGGGATGTTATGGTGTGCGGGGCATTAGGTATAGTGGGGGGTGGTGCTGCTATGAGGTTGGGGGAGGGAAGGGTTGAGGGGTTGAAGGAGGGCAGGAGGCTGGGTGGAGAGTTGGATTGAGAGTTGACAATGTCCTTACGGATTGCGTCAATCTTGTTTTGGAAGTGATTGGCAATCTCGTGGGCGTTGAGTGAGGTGGAGGTGGGGGGGGAGAGAGCAGGGATTTGAAAGTGGAGAAGAGCCGGCGAGGACAGGTGGAGAGGATGTTGATAAGGGTTATGAAATAGGCTTGCTTGGCGGCGTGGAGGGAGGTGGTGTAGGCGCCTTTATAAGGGAGAGCGCGCGAGGGGATCTGGTTTTGCGCTATAAGCGCTCGAGCGCGCGACTGCGTCGTTTGAGACATTTCGTATGGTCGTTTTGCCAGGGTTGAAGCGGTCGGGGTCTAATGCTACGTGTGGTTAGGGTTGCCAAGGAATCAAGAG